GGGGCTATCCGGCCGGGTGATATAGAATTATCGTTTTTTAATAAAAATTATAATTATAAAGTTAGATACTATTCTTTGCTATGGTTTTATATTAACTTTATTTTTTTAAAGTTTATGAAGCCATTCATAAAAAAATATATATCCTTCAAATACTTCGATCTAATAGCTGTTAGTAAGAAGTTTCACTTCAAATATGCGCACATAGTGGACACCCAATTTTTTTCAAAAACTCTAGGATTAAAAGAATTCTCAAGCATTTTGACACATCACGGACTACCACTCACGATACCTATCATAGCCATTACGAATGTGAAAAATAAGACTAGAAGATCTCCAGGGGATATGCGTTTGCCAATATATCCATCGGAATAGAGCAGCTAGTGGGACAAAACTGTCGATGTTAATTATAAACTGCATAATCCAATACAAAAGGAAATTCGAATCGACACATAATGTTCGATTAAAATCGAATGCGGACGGTAGTTTCATTTGCACCCAACCGTTCGCATTCTATCTCATTTCTATCGGATTAAAATAACGGAAAATGGACCTGTATAATTAGATAGGAAAACAGCATTATAAAATATACCAACAGATATAACTAAAGCTAATGTACAGGGTGGTTCGAACTCTATTCCGGAAACATCGGCAGCATATTCTGCAGATAAAAATAAGTAAAAAAGTTTGTATAAATGTATGTCCTAAAATGCTTAGTTTCGGAGATACAGGGTGTAGAAGTTTCATTTTTATTTCGATTTTTTCCTGTGACAAATCTTTTCGGATTAATCACTTGTCTATCGACTTGAACGTAAAGGACATAGGAAATAATCTGTTAATAATATAAATAATAATATAAAGGAAATAATCTGTTACATTCCAAATAATTTCTGAAGTAAATTCAATATTTGAAACTTAGTGTCTGGGAGTTTTTTAAGATGAGAAATTTGATTTTGATGTCAATATGGCTCCTACTAGTAGAGGGCGCCACCTACATATTTTTTAACCGGTTTGAAGAGTAATAACTTTTCATCCGTACCTGTATAAAACTACTGAGTAAAAAAATATACATTTACGACGTTTTTTACGTAAAAAAGGTCTATTGGTAAAAATTTGGAATCGAAATTATTAATACCTCTCATCATTGACATTAATTAAACAATGACATGTTGACTAAATAGTAATTAAACTGAAATCATAAATTTGAAATATTTTTGTGCCAAAAGTTCAACAGAAACTGTTTTATCATCATTTTTTGTAGAAAAATTTATGATTAATTAAAAAAAAATTCAAATTTATTATTTCAGTGAAATAACTATCTATTTAACGTGTTTATTTTTCGTCAATAATGACATGTATTGACTATTTCCATTCTAAATATGTTAGGAACGGTTGCTCGTAGCGATTTTTACAAAGAGATATTTTTTACGTAAAAAGTCACAGAGATGTATATTTTTTCGTTCGGTAGTTTTATACAGCTACGGACAAAAAGTTATTACGCTTCAAAACAGTTAAAACACATGTATGTGGCGCCCTCTGCTAGTAGGAGTTAAAGTCCCTAGATATATAAAGTACCGCAATTGGTTTGTTCAATGTATGGAGGCTAGGAATCGAACGCAAAAATTATGGGCCCAGTTTTTGAGATCTAAATGAAGTTCGAAAATCGCCGTTAGGGGCGCATGTGATCCGACAGATTGAGAAATACACAGCTTCTTATGGCAAGAATTACTATTTTGTTACAAATTATAGAGTTCAGTTAATATTTGGGCATATTTTTACCAGATTTACCTTTTAGAAACGTGTTTTCTAATTGAACAATGTGCGTGGCTAAAATTGTGAATAAAACCTTAATTTGAGTTTGAAAAGTAAGTTAGAGTTAGGTTATCGGATGCCGGTTTTTAGATATTCTTTTTCTAAGTTGTTATTATAAAATTGTTTCATTATATGGTTCTTTAGTGCACTTACACGACCGAAGAAGAATATAAGCTGCTAAAATAAATCCTCCCTATAACTGTTGTACAAAAAGATAGAATTTCAGCAACAAATATCACCAGTGCAGCCTTTGATTTGATGCTAAACAGTAATTGTTTCTTGATGACAAATGCGAATTAAATAGTTTATGAATTATGTAATTGTTAGTGATTTATTAATCGTTTTTCATAAAAACATTTGAAATTGATATGTTTACAAGCAGTTCAGTGTGATATCATTTTTAATAAACATTAAAACTTTCGTAACAAACTAGTAGTGGTTTTTACGCAATTGACGAAACCAGATCCACGAAGAGGTAAAGTATTTTATCAGGAATAACTTCAATGGAAAGTGAAGATGAACACTACTGTTTGCACCCTTTGATCAATGTTATCTATCCATAACTTTTTATAAGCTGGAAACCAGAGAAATAGGTACATTAAGCTGAAATGTTTCTGTGTTCAATAGCGTTTTTCTTAGATTTTCTGAATTTAAGTTTTAATGTCATAGCAAGTTTACAAATTGTCACTGTTTCGTGAACTATTAAATTCAAGATGTATATTCAACCTAATAATTGTAAAGGTAAATTTTTGTAAATAAAATATTAATGAAATAAATAATGAACTCAATTTATGTAAATATGTATATACACTGACTTATTTCATCATATATTTATTTGTTGCCAATATTAATACATTACAACTTTTTATTTTTGATAACTGACTAAATTCCACTAAATTTAATAAATAAAATATACAGTATATAAATTTAATACTCACAATTTAGCATCTATACCAAAAAATATAACAGGAACATGTTATATCAAGAACAAAGATATAATTTAAAAAAATGCATTAAATAAATACCTGGCTACAATATACCTACATATTAATTTAAGAGCTTATTCATAAAAAACTAGTCTAAATGATTTATATAACAATCAAAGTCAACTAACCACTGTAGATTATTTTCAATTTAAATGAAGCATCTCGGGTAATATAAATTATCTTATATTAGAATACTATATTGCTTTGGCGTAAATTCACTTTCAATAGCACTGTTCAAATGGTGGTTAATACATATCAACAGTGATTTTAGCCACCAGCTAGTAGGTCAAGTGTTGCATTTTATAACAAGGCCTCCTAGGTTATGTTACGCAGATGTTGATTTTTAGGCTATATTCTCTATTAATTTGAATTTAAAATTAATCTGTACAGTGACAGTATATAATTTGAATGTTTTTCTTAACATCTATCCATATTTTTTAAATAAATAGTTAAACCACTTACATTAGGACCTTTGAAAAGGCTTGGGTTTCTTTCACCCCGTTCTTTGTTGCCTTTTTCCACTGTAAGTCCCACTTATACAGCCAGGTACGAAGCAAGATCCTATTATATAGGGTTTTTAATCCCACTCATTGTTACATTGCTAATAGTTCAATAAAATAACTATAAATTTAAAAAAAAAACTAGTAAAAACACAGTTAAATCGTATTCTAACAATGCAAATGATCAATCTAACGCGCTTACAGTGCCTCTGGTGTCAAACCGAGAAACTTGCTTTAAAGTAGGAACAGAAATTTCAAATATGCCCATTGTCGATTTGCCTCCTCCTTCTAGCCTCCATAGTTCAATGTTATTGGCGCCAAAATGGCGGATTTTTGGGGTATTTCTGGAAAAACTGTAGTGGTAGGACTGTTTAAATGTCACATTTGTCTGAATTTGTCATGTCAAATGTTGAGAAGCTGTCAATTTCAGGATAAAATTTATCCACATATTTTAAAATAATTATAAAGCCACTAAAATGCTACAGAATTTTTGATTAATAATGTATAGGCATTATCTTTAGTGAAGAAATGTGTAGTACACGAAAAGGCCGCCATTTGATGTGTTTCTAACATCGTCGATATTCAATACACGTTAGGTAGTGGATTGAATTTATTTATGCTCCAGTGAATATTTTTAACAATCTTATTTGTAGTATAACCTACTGGTACATAAAACTTCATTATAGAACAAGACAAGACCACAATAGATCTGAGAAGGTCGCAGTGGGTCAGGCCGAAATCAACCTCTAGAAATCTAATCTAGAACAAGACAAAGACCTTACTTGCAAACTACCATACATATCTTTTAAAAAGGATGCTAAGTGTAAGTGAAATCTCTACGTAATCATTCCCTAAAATGTTTAGTGTAGTTTAGTTTTCAACATTTTGCAGCAAGAAGTTTAGATAAATCTACAATATATTATCATCAGACCAAACGAAGGATAATTATTTAAAAGAATAAGTTATGTTATGATACATATATAGATTTGGATGACATCGCTCAGGTGGTTTTACCAGTCAGGACTAACAGGGATATTAACCAAAACAATGAAAAAAAGCTCAAATAAATTTGATCCTAATAACAAGAATGTTGTTTATGCATATGCTAACTATATAGTTATTTTCATGGACTTAAATAGATTAGTTTTTATGTATTTATTGATAGTAATTAATATTTTTTGGTTCATATTGTAATTACTAATAAAAAGTAAAGAATATAATGTAAGCATGTAAAGTTATATTTAAAAATTTGGTCTTATACTGTCAGTTATAAATAAAAGTGTGTGATTTAAATTTGATTTTTATACATGGCATAAAATTGTTAAGATTCGTTTGAAGTTTTACATATTGTCGAGGTAAAATTATGCCTACTTAATTTATGTATAACAATAATTACAGTTATTTCAATGTTAAATTTATAGCAGTATAACTTTTTTATAATAATGATACTTAAACATTATGACTATGACACTTGTTGTTTTAAAAATATAACATTAAATTGCAGAGCAAAATATATTTTAATTGAATTATGTGGTATTAACTTGCTTTTATTCAACTAATAATAAATTTGTTGTATAAAAATGACTCCATAACATACAAACCTTAATTATACAGCACACATAAAGAGCCCCTATGTGTTTCAAGCTTCTTTCTAAGTTATTTATAAAATAAGTGCACAATTACATACCTAAAATGCTAAACTACCTGAAGTAATACTAATTGAAACAATCTTTCTATCAATATATTAATATATTTCAAAAATAGCAGGTATGTATCATATCAATTTAATTATTACATTTATTTGTTTCAACCATGGTTCAAAATTTTCTCGTATAAAAGCCGGCCTTCAAATTTAAGTTTGTAGCTTATTCATAGTTCCAAAGACTTTCGTTAAATCATGCTTATTTGTCAAAACTAACTACAGCATAACTGGTATAATAGGGAAAGTTTACTTATGGTATAGGTATCCCGTTCTCATCAACAAACAAAGTTTTTCCAATTGTTTCGACTGAATTAAGTACTAAAATTCTAAATGTTATTCCAACTTTATTTCTTCTTACCTATTAACTTACTTCTGTTGGCGTACTTTGCGCTAAAAGGTAACATAAAATAAATGCTAATACAAATGAAAAACACTTGTACGGAAACCATTCGTTTATAACCTCTTAACATATATAGGCCTAAAAAATTAAATTTATGAAATTGAATATTAATATACCACCTGATATTACGTTAAAATGAAGGTAAACTGTAGATAATAAACGTAATTCTATTACAATTAATAAATATTTTATTTTACGGCTTGCCTGTCAATGTTGGTCGGCCATATTGGCGCCGGACCGACCAGCTGCTTAAAAGCCGAAACAGCGAAATGTTAGCCTCCTTTTAAATTTGCCGCTAGTTTTTGGCGCCAATATTACGCTTCAAAACAGTTAAAACACATGTAGGTGGAGCCCTCTGCTAGTAGGAGTCATATTGACATCAAAATCAAATTTATCATGTCAAAAAACTCCCAGACACCAATTTTCATCCAAATATTGACGTTACTTCAGAAATTATTTAGAAAAAATCGAAATAAAAATGAAATTTCTACACCCTGTATCTCTGAAACTAAGCATTTTAGGACCTACATTTATACGAACTTTTTTATTTATTTTTATCTGCAGAATATGCTGCGAAGTTTCCGTAATACAATTCGGACCACCCTGTATATTTGATATCAAATAAACTTTTAGTTAGGTAATCGAAGGCGCTATTTTTAAATTCATTGTTGGCCAACCATGGACATATTCGGCGTCGTGCTGACTAACTGGAATTTAAATTTCGCGCTGGGGATTTAGGTGGTAGCTCTGCTGTAAAAAATGTCGAGTTGCCATATTTATGTATTTATTTCCTGACATTGTTATACGTTTTCACAATTTAGTTTTGAATTACGAGTTTTTGGTTTCACTAAATAGCGTTATGATACTTTAAGTTTAAAATTTTTACTAGCAGACCTTGCACTCGAACATTGCTCTTTTTAGAACCTCTTTTAATGCAAAGTGTACAAGATTAGAGAGCTTAATAACCGTTGCAGAAAACTCATCGCCACCTTATTAGAATATTTTGAACGGGAACGCGGTAGTAATGGCCTTTTATTAAGTGCTGTTAAACAAGGAGGTGCGTTTTGTTGATGTAAATAATAACTGTTTATATATTTATAATTAATATATAATAATAATAGCTCCCGTATATAGAGTTTAACGCCTTGGATACTCATACTAGAGCCGTTCGGTATACAAGGAAGGTAATGTGGCTAGCACTACGCTTCAACCGCCTATTATTACCTCAGGACTGTGAATCCCAAGTACTCATTTAAGGCTGAGTCGACCTAGGTACCCAAACTATATTTTATTTTTTAATAAAAATAGTCGGCTGTACCTTGAGATTGGTAGATGAGAGCCTGTACCTCTACGCCATCAGGCACATAATATTTATAATTAATTTCTTTAAAAGAAAATATCTAAAAGAGGGCAACGGTGTCCCAGTCAAGCTTAATAACGAGACTAAAAGATTATTTGATTTGATTTGAAAAGACTATTTGATTGCTTGAAAACAGAATATCTTCACATTTCGTGTAAGTTACAATTCTTCTGTATCTGAAAATCTTCTGATGGGAAGAAATGTGGAAAAAATATATAATGACATATTTTTATATTATTATCTATTTTAAAGATTTTTTACAACTTTTATTTAATTTAAAACACGGTTAATTTTAACATTAATGTGTTTTTTTTGTAGTAATATATATTGGTTAGATGATTTTCATTGGATAACTAATACATTGAACAACACATTGTACTAAATAATAAAATAACATATTCTTTAATATCTCAAAAGTATCGGGAATTTCCGGTTCTGAATTACCATATTATCAAGAAATTATGTTTTTAACTAAAAACTAAAAAAAAGGCACTCATTTTTTGTCAATCCGTCTCTGTGCTGAGACGCAACCATAGACTTAAAATAAAATATAGACTACACTATTTACATCTCAGCGCGGACAGACAATATTTTTTGTACACATGTTTACTTCTGGGTACAGTCGACCGAGCCTTCCTCATCCAGCCTATGTTGTCACGTCTTTAATATTATCAATTTTTTTTTCTTGTTATACACATATATTGAGATATTAATACTACAGTTTAATAAAGTAGGTTTTAATATTCCAGAGATGTATTAAATAGTCCTTATACTACTAAATTATAAGTCGGATACTGTTTAAAAAGGATAAGTTCTTTACAACATGACAACACCGATTAGAGGCGAGGGAGCCTATTCATTCATTTATTACCTTGTAGTACGTGTCGCACGTGTGCGGTAAAGCTTTGTTGCCGCTGTCTCCCCGGCTGTATTAACGCATTTTCTTAGCTTGTAGTCCTTAAGTGTTTATTTTATTGACTTTTTCTGTTCAAGAACTATAAAATATGGTTCGCCAGTGCCAAATTTGCAAGAAATTTGACTTAAACAATCCATTTAAGTCTTGAAACGGGTTTTGACCGGTAGGTAACTCTCAATTTACCCATTGGGAGTCAGTGGCGTTGTTGTAGAAAGGCGCTTATTTAGATAATATTCTAGATTTAGAAGTCTATGGACGCAACGCTCGAACCTCGCAGGTCGACGGACGGAACTTAACTGAAATGTTCTGCAATCTGCCGATATTCGACAGATTATAAAAACTGGCAGAAAAATATTTGGGAGAGTGCAACTACTCTTTACCTTTTACTATGTCAATATTGTCCAGATCCTAGCTTAAGTGGGCTTATATAATATTGACCTGTCTTTACTTTTAAAGGCTGATTTTCCATCTTTGTTCGCAACATATCTGCCTCTATACCAGGAGCATTTTAAATATAAAAAACTTTCAAATATTTAAATCATGTTATATTAAATAATTTTTGTAGTGTTTTTGAACAATACAGAATATTTTTCCTCGTTTTATTTTGAAAACTACATGACACCAACATTTTACCTTTCCATTTTTGATTTTTCGCCTGCACGAAACAGTATAATTAGTTTTTGACCTGACGTTTTATAACATTTAATTTTTATGGAAAATCAGATTTTGGTTGACATCATTTCACTCTGTTTTTGACATACTTGAAATATTAAATTCTGTGTAAATATTTTTTATCCTGAATTCAATGACATGTAAATAATTTAAAACTTATTAAACAATAATTAGAGGTGTTAACAAGTGAAATTTAAAATTTAATTTAATTGAATTTTTTTTCTGTTAATAGTAATATACAGTATGTCCCTGGACTGTCTTTCCAAGAGGAAAAACTTTTCTTGACATTTTGAGAAAAATGCCTTCATCATAAAAAAAACTGCGTGTTCTAATATGGTTAATTCCGTTTATATTTTCCAAATTTCCATACCGTTTTAGAGAACATGAAAATATAGCAAAATAAAACACTAAATCACCACAAGGCACCAAAATACTTTTACTTTTACACTGGACGCGCGTTTCGTTAACCATATTAGTTATCAGCAGATAATTAAAATTCACAGTTTTAATCATCTGCTGTTCTTTATCATCAAACTTCAATGCACAATAATTTTAACAGTTGTTGATTAATAATTCGTCCAATCCAATTATATCTCAGTTGATAATTAAATAAAAAAAAACTTTTTCATAAAAAATTGATTTTCTTTAGATCAATACTTTTTATATTAAATTTGTCATAAAAACATTATTTATTCGAAATTTAATGAATCATTGACTCTAAGTTAAAAGAAATATAATAATTTTTTGTTTCAATGTTAACATGCTTAGGACTAAAAAAAACTAGAAAAAAAGTTTAAAACGTTTCTTTGTTCATAGAAACTCAAATTTGTACAAATTTTCCTGAAACTCATAAAATAAATTAATTAATTAATCAAAAGCTGTTAATGCCATCGAATTACTAATCAAAAACTCTTAAAATTACACACAACCGCAAAATCTAGGGATATTTTTTCAAAATTGCCTCTAATAGCTCATTTTTGTTAGATTTCTTCTTTTTATAAAATTTTAGTGTTTTGTGGGATAAGTAATTTTATACAAAATATTGTTTTATTCTAATCCAAAACTAAACTTTTGAAAAAAAAAACATAAAAAAATATTAACTAATTAAGTAGCAAACACATTATTTATTGTGTCACAAATGTTTATTTAATAAGTTGTATGACCTTCTCTGTTATTCACAACTGCCTGACATCGCCTGGGCTTGCTCAAAATCAAGTTATCGATGTCAGGCTGTGGTATTTCATTCCAGGCATTTTGTAGAGCTAAAAAAGATTTCTTCTGTTGTCCCTTGGTATTCCCATACGTAAAACCCTTCGTTGCCACATATCCCACACATGCTCAATGGGATTTAAATCTGGAGATTGCGGTGGCCACGGTAAAACATCGATATCGTTGTCTTCCAAGAAGTCCATTGCAATCCTAGCTGTATGAGGTCTGGCGTTGTCATGCATGTATAGGAAATTGGGACCCATAGCTGCCACATATGGAATGACCACATGTCCAAGTATCTGATCAACATATGACCTACCCGTTAAAAAGTTCTCCAACAAAATGAGGTCAGTTCTGCCACTGATGCTTATTCCACCCCAGACCATTATTGTTCCTCCTCTGTAAGAGTGAACCTCCTGAACATTTTGAAGGTGAATCAAATTACCAGGCTCTCTCCAGACACGAACCCTTCTTGAATCAGGATGTATGCCAAACCGGGACTCACCCGTGAAAAGAACTGTAGCCCAATTTTCATTTTGCCAAATTAAATGTTCCTGTGTCCACTGAAGTCGAGTACCTCGATTGCCCCAGGAAAGAGGTTGAACTCTCAAAGGGCGTCGACTGCGAAGGCCATTATCATGTAAACGTCTACGCACAGTATCATCCGAAATGACAATGCCATGAATCAATGCACCATTATTTGTAACTCAGGTGTCGTAATATTGGGATGTCTCCGAGCATTAAGGTGCAGAAATCATTCTTGTACTGGGTTGGTAATACGCCCACGTCCCCTGTACCTTTCTGCCACATCACCCTCTTCTCGATATCGTGAGCAAAGATGTGATATCAAGCTTTCTGAAATACCAATTTCTCTCGCAACATCAGTTTGTCTCATACCACCGTCCAAAAGACCAACCGCTCTAATCATTTCTTCTCGAGTTAAATGCCTACGCTGCATAGTTAACAATAATACACTAATGCTTCAAACATAAAAATAGAGGTATTAGCTTTCAAGTATGCGTACACAAAAGGTACCATAAATTTCACTTAAAAATATTTTATTTATGTTTTGCAAAAATACAGCAAAATA